GCTATTGTTTGAACTATATCGAAGAAAATCTTTTTCTCTTGCATTGTATTGCATAAGAACTTTGTTATAAAAGAAAAATATATATATATATATATATATANATATATATATATATATATATATATATATATATATATATATATATATATTTATATTACGAATATCGTCTTTGTGTTTGTGAAAAGAAAGGAAATATAGATTCAGGATACTTCTCATTAATTTAAAAAACAAAAAATAAAGATAGAGATAAAGAATTTTTATCGATCGTCGTTACTATTCCGTCTTTATTTTATATCCCAATAATCTTCTTTATATTGTATTTGTCATTTTTCTTCTTCTTTCTCTTTTGATATTTTTTCGTTTCATTTATTCCTTTTCGTTTGAACGAAAATCTTTTTACGGATATTTGTCAAAGCTTCTACGCGACTTTTGTATATCGAGAATTGTGAAAAATAAGAGAAGAAAAGACAAAATCCAGCAGACCCGTCGAGAAAGAAAATAGAACTAACTTATAAGAAATATGAAAGGAATGCACGAATAATATACATATATATATATATTTTTTTTTCTCTTAATATTTCACGGAATAGCGAATAAGTATAATAAATAATTTCAAGAATTGATGAAAAATTTATATAAAAACAAAAAAGTATTTCTTATTGAGATGCACGTTGAAATAATAAGAGTAACGTACTAAAGTAATGAATATATTTGGTGAATGATTGTTACGAGTTTACAAACAATTATTAATTTAGAGCCAGTTAAAGTATTGTTTAAAAAAAGAAATAAAATAAAATGAAATAATAATCCACTAGAGAGTCTCGCGAAGAAAGAATATAAATAATTGTTAACATTTTACGGAATTGTGAACAGAAATAATAAATAACTTTGGATTACTACAAAATCGTAAAAAGAAAATAGAATTTAAATAACTTATTTTTCTCTTTGGGATACAAGAGAAACGCGAAAGAGAAAGAATAGGTTGGGTGAACGATCGTCGCGAGTTCAACAAAGGCTATTAATTTTGTTCTACTTTGAGTACTGTACGAAATAAGGGAAAGAAGAATATAATCCAGTAATTTAGTAGAGAATGAAAATGTTAGTTTCATTTTATAATGAAAAAGATAATGCTTGCAAAACAATATGTTGTTCATGAATAATGTAAAAAAGAAATAATATAGAAAGCAGCGCGAGATGAAATATTTAAATATATATTTTTATAATCTTTAATAATAAATTTTGAATTGATAAAAAGTTATCAAAGCAATGAAAGAATAATGCGAAAGAAAATTAATTTATCATTGTCAAACGCAAGATGAAATAACAATAGAAATTTTAGAAAAACCACGGGATAGCAATAGAGAAAACTTTCGAATGATTCTGAAAGAAAAAAAAAAAAAAAAAAAGAAAAAAAGAAAGAAAGATTAAAAAAGTAAAAAAGAACCTTGACGTTATCATTGAAACACGCGAATGATACAAGATAATAATTTGGAATAATTAAAAAATGATTACAATCCTGAAAGGCAAAGAAGAAGAATGAGAAAACGCGATGTTTCGTAGTGACAGAGAACGAAACAAGGGAAAAGTAGAAAAGGTGAAAAAGGAAAAAGAACAGGGGGGAGGGGGGAGGGCATGGTGAAAGATCGTAGGAAGTTCAACGACTATTAATTTCGTTCTACTACTCCTTCCATCTCGAACGAACCGTTTGTCAACGTCGGATAATACTATTAAGCCATTGGTACGGCACGTGTCGCTTGATCGAAGAAATAATTGCGAGTTGCTGCTTTCCACTGAAAATTCCTTTTAAAAGCTCCATTTCGTTTGAGTCCTTGACCCCTTTCATTTTCTCTCTCTCTCTCTCTCTTTCTCTTTCTCTCTCTCTCGTTCACTTTACTTCTTTTCCTTTCCAAAAGAGCTTTAACGTTTTTCGTAGAAGAAAAGAAAAGTGAAGTTTTATTGAATGATCGAACTTTCCCATTAAATGAATTTTATTTCTAAGGGATAAACGAGAGAAATTTAGAGGAAAAATCGAAGATTTTCAAGAATTAATTAAACTATCAGAAAATCATTCTCTCTTATGCACATATACAAGTGAAAGTACACATACAAGCGCATAGACACATAGAAGATGCAAATATATATATACACCTACTTGCATAAGATTGATTTTAAAGAATAGAAATGAAAAGAAAATGGAGGATTGAAAAAAATATAAAAAAGGTTCCGTAAGCCTTTTCTTTCGTTCGGTTTTAAGGAAAGAAAGAAAGAAAGAAAGAAAGAAAGAAAGATATTTATATATCTATACACTCGCGTAATTTCGAGTTATGATCCGTTTGATAGTTTCACGTTCATTGGATTTACAGGCTATTTTATTCGACAATTTTCTACTAAGCAACGGACCGTGATATTGAACGAGCTTATTCTGACGGTTTTTCAAAGAAAAAGAAAGTAAAAGAAAATGAAAAGAAAGGAAATAATACAACGAAAGAAAAAGAGAGCGAGAGAGAAAGAATTGATATAACAATTTCATCTAAAATTTAATTTAAAATTTAACTAAATTTCGAATTTAGATTTTCACGTTTTAATACCGTCGTATATAGGAAGAATTGACTTTTTAATAATTTATATATGGAAATGAAAAGAGATTCAGATTTTTTAAAAAAATAAAAATCAAAGGAAGAAAAAATGAAATAAATGTTTGTAAGCTTTTACAACGAGTGACATTTTCTTTTTCCATGATACATATTACAATGACCCGAAGCGACGAAATATGACGTACACGTGCGCACATCCACACAAATTAGAACCGAGCAACATTATTCCGTTGAAATGACGAGCTTATGCTTATAAATGGAGAAATATGAAAATAACAAAATGTATCACTGGAGGTGAGTGCATTAGCTTAGTTGAAAAAAGAAAAAAATTATAAAAGGTAAAAAAAGAGAAAGGGAGAGAAAGAGAATAGATAAGGTTTATAACTCAGAAAAATATGTAATTTTGTGAATCTTGGAATAATCTTATAATTTGTTAGGCCAATTAAACAAAATCCATGTTTAATCCATGTTTAATCCATGTTTTTACAGATTCTTAATAATATATTTCTTAACATTATTAAGACAATAGTACATTTTCTCTCTCTTTCTCATATTATTTGAGTTTTTTACGAGACGACGACAACGGCGACGATAGTTCATTCAAAAACTACACAGATGAAACGCATTATTTTTGGAGAGAAAAAAAAATCAAAAATTATACAGTAAACATTCACTCGACATACAGCGAACGTTTTCTATTAGTCCCGCACAGTTATATCGTCATGTTCACTCTCACAGATTATTTTGATGTCCTTTTTTCAGACTTATCACTTGTAAAGTTCTCCTTCCTCTTYCACCTTTTCTTCTTCTTCTTCTTTTTTTCTTATTTTATTTTATTTTATTTTTCCATATCTTTTTATATATTATATTATTTTTCTCGATAAAACACAAGGAAGTCCAGGAAAACAACTGTTATCAGTTCCCACATGTATATATAGTATATTTATACATACACATATAATTAAATATTTAAAAGTCCAATGAAATGGTCCGATTTTGCAATTATTCAAAGCCATTTATTTTCTCGTACTTCACGACAGGATTTCCTTTGCTTCCTTTCACATCGACGACGATGACAACGACATTGATCCTAAGAGCCTACGAGCAGATACAAAAAAGCGACAGGAAGGAAGGAAGGAGAGAATGGAGTGAAAGGATTGGGGTTAGGGATGTGGAGGTGTAGATATGGGTGGGGGTGAAGGTAAGAATGAGGAATGGCTTTGAGTATGGCCACCCTTCTACTCGCACGTGTCATACGCCTTAAGCACACTTAAGTCCCGGGAGTGTCGCAGTGTTGTCTGGATTCTTCCTAGATAGGTTTATAAGATCTTATCTCTCTCTCTCTCTCTCTCTCTCTCTCTCTCTCTCTCTCTCTAGCTGTCTTATGCTTGTTTTCTCTCTATTATGTCTTTTGGGATCATACTAACGGAAGTGACAGAGTATGAGGAAAGATAAAGAGAGTTAGAGAGAGAGAGAGAGAGAGAGAGAGAGAGATAGATAGATAGATAGATAGATAGATAGATAGATAGATAGATAGATAGATAGATAGATAGATGGATGGATAAATAGATTGAAAGAGAAAGAGAGAGGGGAATAGGGGATGAAAATACACGTCATAGAAGCCGGTTTAAGTCTCTTTAGGGGGTAGGAGGAGGAGTGGTGGTAAAAGGTATATAATAACAGGAAAATGCCATGGTGGCTCGAAGCAGTTTCCAACTGGATAGACAATTCTGATGGTAGATCCAACTGAATTTTAGGTCCGTTTAGGGTCCATTTGAGACTGTGGGGTTGTCCCATTGGGTTGTATTTCGACTGCGATAGCAGTCATCATGGATATACACACATGCATACGTACAGACAGACAGACAGACAAACAGACAAGCTGGTAGGCAGACAGACAGACAGACAGACAGACAGACAGACAGGCATACAGGTCAAACACACTCGTACGTATTATAGTTAGAGACAATACATACATACACATACACGGTGATAGGTCGTGCTCGTGTGCAAAGTTATCGGCGCGGAGTTATCGGGAGGGAAGAAGATTGAGGGTGATGCATGGGGTTTCCGTCGATGCAACAAGCTCGTTACGCTCGATGTGTTCTGTTCTCTCTCACACACAACCACCACTACCAGCACCACCCACATTACCATCCCAATCCCAACCCCTATTCACGTTCAGCTACACCCTTTACAAACTTCACCTACAACTCCCACCACCTTTTTCTTCTTCTTCTTCTTCCTCTCCTTCTCTCCAACGATTGATGGTTATTTTTATCTTCTTCTTTTTGTATAGTTTCTCTTTTAGGATATTTTTTTTCTTTCTTTTTCTCTAGCTCTTGATCTTTTTTCCAGTCTCGTTCTTCTTCTTTTTCTTCTTTTTCTTGTTGTTTTTCTTTTTCTTCTCCCTATTCCACACGTTCCCCTGTCAGATAGGAGGCTTGGGAGAGACACGATCGATGTTGGCGCGTTTATAGAACGTCCTCGCAATCGACCAGTCACCTCGCGAAGGATCCGGCGTGCAGAAGTAAGAGTAGCAATGCCAGTGTCCTCGTGGCAGCCCCGCTGTTGCTTGAATTTCCATGCTGCATTGCTGCCGGATGTTCTCCTGAAACAGAACGAGCCAAGGAATACATAAATCAATATTCTATTTCTTTCTTTTCCGTTAGCTTTCGCAATATATCATATTTTTATTAAAAATGTAAATGATTTATTTTGTCGTGATTAATAGTAATAATATTACTAAACGAGATTACCGAAATAGAGAATGAATCGAAGACTATTTAATTTCATTTTCGTTGTGATCGAATTATGAATTAGACACGTATATTTCTTTCAGCACAAGAATTCGATAATTAAAACTGTTCTAAAAATATTTCTATCTTTTTTTAAATACAATTGAATAAAAATTTCAATCGTATCTATTCAAATATATAAAGTTATCAAGAACAAATGAAATCTTTGAATTATCTCGTAATTAACCTGTTAACCAGGCAGAACGTATAAAGACGTTAAACGTATTACTTTAAAGCTATATATAAATAAACGAAAAAATATATATTTAATAATCTTTTAATTTATTTTAAGCGTAAATAAAATAATAAATAATAAAAAGAGTTACGTAATTAAAAACAGTACTCTCCGGTTAACAGGTCAAACATAGATAAGACTAAACGCGTAATTTAAAAAAAAAAAGAATGATTTAGATTATACATAGTTAAATTAATGTTCCAATCCTACGGTTGAATTAGATTTGAGACATACGTATATGTTAGATTCCTTTAAAACACTTAAATTCATCTAATGAATATGGTAATAATTTTTTGTCTACCCTCTATCACTTTCAATGCTAATGTTAGAAACAGTCTATATAAAACCAAGTATTTATTCAAGCTTTTTTAATCAACTTTTCAAAAAGTAATATTTGCTTATTTAAACAACAAAAAATGCAATTCTTAATTTCATCATCATTTACCATACTTCTAGACTGATCAAACAAAAAAATACATAATTTAATGTTCCATTTCCATGATTAAATAAAAGAATTATATCTTCAGAAACTAAGATCCTAAGTGTAATCGAGAATAAATCTATGATGGAAAAAGTAAAGAAAAAAAAAAAATAAAAAATAAAAAACACATAAGAAAGAAGAAGTAAAAGAAAGATGGAGGAACATTTCAGCATTTCAACTAAGTTTAGAAACGAATCGTTGGAAATTTCGTTCTGTCGCATGGCCGATCGGATCATCGAATTGCTAATTGTGAACGAGCGAAAAGGATAATTGAAGGAACCGACCGAATTGAATTAATTTCGTCTTTTTCTCTTTCTTTCTTTCTCTCTCTCTCTCTCTCTCTCTCTCTCTCTCTCACTTTCTCTTTTACATCCTTTATTTCTCTCTAACTTTAACAGACAAACGAGAGAAGTTATTTTCTACGATGCGAATGGAGAAGGAAGGTTCCGCGATGTAATTACGTAGCAGAGATCGAGGTTATTGTCGAAGAAAATTAATCCTTTTCTATTGCCATCTACTCTACTCCTAACCGCCATTGGAACTTTCTACTCTAACTACCTTATCTTTACCTCACCTTACCCAATCCCATCGTACCCCTTTTCTCACTCGTACCTTTACTCCCCTTCCCCTGGGTAACTGTTACTATCGCATCTTTCCTATAAACCCTAGAGCCAACCTTTTTTTCCCAATAGAACGATAGAATTTTAATCAAGGATATTACTACGAAGATATTAATGCGCAAAATCCCTCTTGGGTATACAAGGCGAGAAAAGTTTGTCACACTGAACGCGAGAGGGATGAAAAAAAAATATAAAAAATAAAAAAAAAAGAGAGAGAGAGAGAGAAAATAAGAATGAGTTTGATAAAAACGATCTGCCATTTTCCTCTCTCATTCTCTTTGTCTTTGTATGTTTCTCTCATTCGTTTTCGCATTTCTCCCAAGCTCTCAGAAAAATAAACGATGCCGTGGAATGTTTTTATTAAGCGAACGATTCCTCCTCCTACCGCGTTTTAAAATCCTTCGAAATCGTTGGAAAAAGGATCGATGGATCCTATTTTTCCCCCCGAATCATTCCCTTTCCCTCGATTACCAAACGCCTATTCCTTTCCCTACTATTTTTTTTCTTTTCCTTTTTTGTTTAGTTTCAATGTTTTTTTTTATCTATTTTTTTCTTTTTTTTTTCGTACTTTTTATCGTAGCATACCAAAAGCAAGGCGTTGTTCAATTTATTGCGGGCAATCCGACGAACGGGTAACGGTACCAACAAAAAGTGCTCGTTTCTCATGGGAAACGGACCATCAGCCTTTTTCTAAGGGAAGGTCGGGGAAACGGGGGGAAAAAGATAAAGGAAGAAAATTCTAGTGCAACCTAGTTCTAGGGAAAACGTAGATGCATTTGAGAAACGTCGAGAAGAAAACTGAGAGGACAAAAGCGTTGAAGGAAAACGACGAAGGTGAACTATGCGTCGATGATAACGACGTAAAGAGATGAAAACGATGGGAGAAGGGGATGATAGAAAGTGACATAAGGAAGATGAGCAGAGTAAAGGGTGTCTCTTCTCGGATGTCTAAAAATTTGCATTCTTGAACTATGCGAACATTCTCTAAAGTAGAAAATATTTTCTAACACAATAAGAACATTTAGAAATAACTTTGATAACAAAATTAATGAATAATATGCAGAAAATTTGTTTAGTTGGAAATTTATTAACAACGATGTTACGAAAAACATTTTTTTACTAGTTAGCTAATATTATATTTAATAATTATTACTAGTTATGTAATATTATATTTAATAATGATATTTTATATGACAAAATGAATATATTAATAATACGTTTAATAATTTCTATTTTGATTAGATTATTATCAATCATTCGTTATTTAGATAATAATTATTTAATTATTGAAAGTAATTAAACGAACGGGATAAAAAGATCGCGGTGGTATGAATTTCCGATTACCTAATTGTTGGTTCGCAGTAAATGATATTTTATATTGTAATGGATTAAAACGATAAAGATATTGTTTCAGAGTATAACTTTCATTTAACGGATATAACGTTAAACATATTATTCGTCGATTAAAATATTCAAGCAGATTATTTTTTCAAAATTACATCATTGATTTTATCATGTTATTTATTTTGTACGGTGAATTTTCGAAAATATTCATATTTTTATTATTATTTCACGTAAAAGGAAAATCTCTGTCGATGATAAAACAAAACAAAAAGAAAAGAAAAAAGAAAGAAGCACGTCGTTCGCGCATCGGAAAGAAGAAGAATTCGACGAAATGGTTTTGGGATTTCGTTGTATTTCTTTTAAGAAAAGATTCTCGCAAAGAGTGTTATTCCTCACTTCCTTGGGATTTCAAATCCATCCACGAAAACCATCAAACATAAACTCGATCTATGCTTTACTTTTTCGCAAAAGGAAATATCGAATAAATATTTGAAAATTGTACATATTCAATAACTCACGGTTAGAACTGTATATGTACGTGAGATACGAGAATGGAATAAATCGTTTGAATCGTGTTGTTCGGCAAATAAACTTTATTTCTTTTTTTACGTTTTACCTTGTTTCGTCACACAACTTCCCCGATTTAATTTTAATTAGCCCGTTTTAATAACGAAATATTCAAAACGAACGAATAAGAGAATGGAGAAAGAAAATACGTAACATTTTACTGGAACGTTTCAAATGCCCCAGCGTGTTGCATATACAATTAATCGATTTATAATTTGCCGGTAACGATGTTGAATATAAAAATAAGAAATGTGTATATGTATGTATGAATTTATGTAATATATATATATATATTATTATTATTATATATTTTATATATGTTATATATATAAAATGTATGCATGTATATTTACACATACATATACACAACTATTATAAAAATGCATATATTTATTCGAGTATACGGAAGAAAGAGATATAAAAATCGTGGAAAAGTTGAAACGTGATTCAACGCGGCCCAGCAAACTCGTTAATTTGTCATTGTTGATTCGCCATTTCCCTAATTATCCGGGTAAAATGCCGTGGACGAATTCCCCCAGAATTGGTATTCGCGTGAACGACACAACAAAACGTATGCGGGTGGAATGTCATACATCGACTAATGCCTCAATTAAAAATTGCATTTTCACATAAACGCATAATTCCAATTTCATCGGTGAAAAAAGTGAACTGAATTTTTATTAACGTTTAACGTACTCTTTCTATTTTTCTCTCTCTCTCTCTTGTTTGTTGTTGTTGTTGTTGTTGTTGTTGTTGATTTATTAACATATTTTTCACGAAATAATTTTTTTATTCCTTTGTTTTTCCTATTTGGATTCAATATAATAAATTGTGTTTAACACAGATAAAAAGACAGGAAAATAAATAGATGATCAAGGTGTATTTTTTTTTTTATGGAAATTCTCGTGAAATTATTAGTTGAAATGTTGAAAATTGGTCTGGACTGTTTGCATTTTGAAACATACATATAATATACAGGTATATCGACTTTTATAAATGTATCAAAATGAGAGAGAGAGAGAGAGAGAGAGAGAGAGAGAGAGAGAGAAAGAAAGAGAAATATGGAACGAGAAGTAGCACTCGCGCCGAGGAAATGAATTTTTTTTCATGACTTCCGTGTACCAGGGTTTTCTTGGCTTCTCTGATAATTAATGCGTCAATTAAACGTAACACGTAATGAAGTTCATTAATTTTTAACCTCTCGTCTAAGCATTCTCGAATTTTAACGTACAAGTATTGCGGTTAAACTAATTATTTGTTACATTTTCATGAATTTAAAGAAGAGAAAGAGACAGAAAGAAATAGGAGAAGTTATAGAAAAAGGAAGTAGAGGTAGCGGAAGGAAAAAGATGAAAGAAATAGATAGGTTTGTAGAAACGGGAAAGAGAAACTGATAGAGTTGTGGAAACGAGAAATAAAGAAAAAGAGGGAGAAATGGAGAGAATTGTAGAAGGTAATAAATGTTGGGAGTTGTGGAAAAGGGTGTGAGAGAGAAAGAGGAAACGTTACCATACAACGATACTTGTCTTTAAATAGTTTTACCACTTATTACCACGTACTAATTAC